ATATGGCAACTAAAGTGCAAGAGCAAAAACAAACTCTACAAGATTGTTGGGAATTTGATTGGCAAGTCACAAAAACAACTCTGCAATATCCTTGACAGTGGTGTACACAAGAAGGCCAAATATATCTTTGCAGACACCTAAAATCCGTTACACTCAGAGTTTGAGCTGCTTCTGCTTGGCCATTGTTTTAGGGTCCCAAGAACCAACCGGATCATATGTAAGAAGTCTTTTATTCCTTTGCCATACAGGCATTGCAGACAGAATGACTGCATCAGGGAATACTATTGTTTTATTTCAAGATGTGCTCTCTTTTATTTTTTTATTTTTAATATATTGCTTCTACCTGCCTATTTGCAATATTGTATCTTTTATATTATATATTTGTATGTTTTTAATGGTGTCATGTGTTGTGTATCTATCTATCTATCTATCTATCTATCTATCTATCTATAATGGTGACCACTGTAAACATTATACCTCCAATAAAATTGTAATGTCATGTGCAGTCTATCTACTGATGTTTTGCTTGACAACCTTAACCACCAACAAAGTTTTGGCAGTTTTGTACCTTAGTGGATTCTCGTCTCAAAACAGTCTTATGCAATATTGTTTTCCACAGAATTTTGACAAAACAAACACTGTGTTTTACATATACAGTATCTTCTATTGAACCATGTCTTCTCTCTAACTATTTTGGCAACATCAACTCTTTAATATGTTATTTACACATGGATTGTCATCTTAGTTTAGTTTCACTGATTTGGGAAAGACCAAATATGAATGTTGTGAAATGCCAGGAAGAAGTGTACTATATAGCCATAAGGCAGCGATACATGAGGCCCATAGCCTCGCTGGTCAAAATACATATTGAGGTAAGCACTGAGAAAGTGTCTACCACATTAAAAGTAGAGAACTCTGATAATCAATTATTCTATTAAATAATTCTTTCATTCAATGGGTGCATATGAAATGTAATGAAAATTCCCCATCACATAGTCCCTTGATATTTATTACGTTATCTAGGCAAAAGTGAAAAAAATCCAGTGTTATGAAAAATAGAGAAGTAAGTAACTTTATTAAACAGCCTCATATCTCAAATTCCTGCTGGTGATATAGTGTTGACTATGCAGGCAAGACTCTAAACATGATCACAAGAATCTTGAACTGAATTTGGAATTTGATGGGAAACCAGCGTAAAGAAATAAAAATTGGTTTTATATTAGACCTTTTCCAGGACTTGGTCTGAAGTTAGGCAGCAGCATTTTGGACCACTTGTAAGCAATCCAAGGGAGTCTTCCTAAAGCACATGACAAGGGTATTGCAGCAGTAAAGACGGGATGGAATAAATACGTGAATAATCATCTCCATCTCAGCTAGGGACTTAATGGACCAGAGTTTAGCAATGTCACTAAGCTGGTAGAAACAGGAGCGAACTAAACAATTTACATGCTGGTCAGGACTCAAAGCCTGGTCCAAGGCTTAAACTATGAAGGGTAGATTTAACAGAGGAGAAAAAAAGAACCATAACTTTGTATCAGAATATGGTGCTTTCTAGAAAAGGAACAAGCCCACATATTTAAGAAGCTGTAACCAGCAAATCTCTCTCTGTTGTCACTGACTTAACCCAGGCTGAAGTTTATCCACTCTCGAAATTGTTTTCTTTCTTTCTTTTCTTAAGGTGGAAATGTTAATAAAAAGACTCAGTGTGGCCTTCTATTGCGTCTCAAATTAGTTTTGTGCCTTTGCTTCGATCTTTAGAGATACATGTTAGAAAATTTAACATAGGTTTAAGTATATATGCTGATGAAGCTTCTGTCAAGTACTACTCACAACACAAATCATGCTGCTACAACTGTTTTCACCATTACCCATTCTGAAACTACAATGACCACAAATAACCTGTAATAATAACAACCACGTGCAGACATTGTCCAACAACTTAAGACATAAAACTTAAAAGGCAACAGGCTTCACACTTTATGTTTATCATTTGCTTGCAGCATAATGCTGTGAAATCATCCACTCTGATTAAACTTGTGCTGTGTGCTGAGAGACCGCCATTTAACACTGGGGACGTCAACAGTCCCCCTTCACTTTCAGTTTAAGTACACATTGGGGTTTTGCTCAGGTGCAACTGCTTAATCCTGTGGGATTTATAATCCATTAGTATTATTCAATTAATGATTATTTCAATTAATCATCATGAAGCATATGCATAATTCCCCTCTGACTATTTTACTGGAAATTACTACGTTAATTATTGGTAGAAATTAGGATGTTAAGACTTACTGAGAATTAAAAAATGAGACAAAATGACACTTACTGTTAGTATACTATTAATGTTTCTTTTTGTTTATCTTAAGAGAAACTGATGGATGGTTTTCCTTTTGTCCTTATGTGTTCATTAAACCAACTTTAAAGCATGTTACAGACAGAGACTCACTGCAAATAAGAAATCTGACTGTTTTCTGACTTGTTGAAGTGCTTCATCCCATTAACAATCAGAAACAGCACAACAACAAAACTAACCGCCCGTATTCACACTCCTGCGTGTCCTCAATGGTACAAAGTAATCTAGCCACTTGTGTGACTAGATTAGTAAAAAACAGGGTGATAAAAAGAGATACTGATCACATTTAATGTCTATCAAAGGTAAAGAGCTAATAAAGGAGAGAAAGGGGTCCCAAGCTCTTTGGAACATTCTCACCAGTGATAGCTGTGGCTGGAGGCACTGTGTTTTGGGTCGTCCGTCCATCTGATTTTTGTAAACACGATACCTCAAGAACGCCTTGAGGGAATTTCTTTAAATTTGGCACAATCGTCCACTCAGACTCAAAGATGAACTGATTATAATTAAGTGGTCATAGGTCAAAGGTCAAGGTCACTCATTATCATAAATGTGATATCTCAAGAACACCTTGAGGGATTTTATTTTTATTTCTTCAAATTCTGTACAAACATCTACATGGACAACTGATAAGGTTTTGGTGGTCAAAGGTCAAAGGTTAAGGTCAGTGTGGCCTTGCATTTGTCTCATTCTGCGAAATCTCAAGACAGCCTTGTTTTTAATTTGGCACAAACATCCATTTGGACTGAAGAATGAACTGATTAGAATTTGGTGGTCGAAGGCCCAATTACAAGGTCACTGTGACCTCACAAAATATGTTTTTAATTATGACAAAATATTACATAAATGTCTAATGAAATAAAATTATGAAGTGATGATATGTTATATCCAAAAGGTCACAGGTCAATGTCACTGTGACATTATAATGTTCTGCAAAACATTCTTCTGGACATTATTCAACACCATAATTTAGGAACAGAGGGGTTTGGTCAGATACTCATTGGGGACTCTAATCTTGGGTGTCCACCTTGAAACTTTAGTGATTGTATAGACATTGTGTGCTGCTGGGTTGAAGATGTATGTGAGGCATCTATGTTTTAGAATATTTAGCTGATTTTAAGCAACATCTATAGCCAATTTGAAGCATTGTCAACTGTCATGGCTATATATGACTCTCAGCAGACATGGATGTAAACAGCAAATGCAGCTTCACTGGTTCGCAGAGGCAGTAATTCTAGCTTCTACTCTCACATAGTGGCCTTAATCATTTCCTATGAAGTAAAATCTGCCCTTAACTTTTAACATATAAATCACATACAACAGCCAAGTGGAAGAGAAATGATGTTTTTGAACTCCAGTAAAGATGCTCGATGTATTGTAAAAGGCTGTATAGAAATGAGCCCAAGGCTGTGTAGACCTTGTAAAGCTTGAATCAACTCCAAGCCAATTAAGTTTCATATTCACTCCTATGCTTGCAGAGTATATGCTGCTTATTTTCATGTATAAAAATATAAAGACGGTAAAAAAAAACAAAACTCATCACAAAGATGTTAGGGCCGGTTCAAACAGATTGGCATGTTTAACCAGGATGGTTTAGGTCAGCATGTCTGAGAGCAGAGTACGGAGGGCATTTCAGGTCTTGTATGTGCAGATTTAAACTCCAGCCTATCAACAGAAATATTAACATTATTTGTAAATGTAAATTTTCATCCTCTCCTTCCTTGCCCCCATTTGTGCTCCTCTTTATTTCTAATTTTCCTGCCTAATTTTTGACTCTGTCATTCCTCACTTGCTCATAGACATCCTCAGTGTGCTCCCTTGTCCTGTACAGTCACCTGCCTGTCTTCTCATCTGCTCCTTATCAGCAATTAGTATCTGAGTGTACTGTATAGCAGGCAGTTCTTTATGAAAAATGTTCACTTTTGGGGAACGAATGAGGCATAACAAAGGACATTAGCTTTAACTGACTGTTATATTTAATGTGCCATAACTTCCATAGTTAAATTAATTTGGGATCTATACATTTTTTCAACCCCCAAACATTATTTTATACCATTGTAATAACCTGTAAACATCAGTTCTTGCTTAAAATGTTATTTCATTCACACACCGTAAACACATGGCAATTTACAGTCACAGGATAGATGATATGTTTGTCTCAGCAGCTGCATCCTATAGCATTTGTAACATTTTGCTTTCCATTATCTTTAACTGGCAGATATTTTTCAATTATGCACTCAATTGTCACCATTAGGAAATGTCCATTTTAGTACAAAAAACCCCAAAAACATTAACATCTATGTACATGTAACCTAAGATCTTTATTTCATGCAGTGTAGTATGACATCAGTGTGTGGTATACAAATGAGGCACAGCTCATGTTTACATAAAATAAAACAGATGTGCTTTCCAATAAATTATTATTATGTTAAAGGGTGTGATTGTTATGTCATCAAATAGAGTGCAACATGCTACGCCGATGTAAGTTTAAATATATTTCTATATGATGATATACGTCACACATACTATGTCAGACAGTTTCAGGAAAACGATTTAGAAAATTCATGAAAGCATATATTTATAACTTTAGCATATAACACTTTAACCGTAAAAAAAATGCAACTTGTACGATAAGTTCAAAGTTCACAAGAATCTACTGAGATGTTAAATCTTTTTTGAATACCTTGAAGAGCTTACATCTGATCTCTTTTGTCCTAAGACAATACACCAAAGGATTTAAAAGAGATGGACCCAGCATGGCCCCGAGCGTTAAACCTTGCCGAGCATCAAGAGTTAATACCACACCTAGCCTAGTCAAGACAATAGTGATAAATAATGGACAGTAATAAGATGTTACCACTATCAAGTGACTCAAACAAGTGCTGCCCATTTTCTTTTTGTCATTATTTGAGGATAATTTCACAGAAACTATCATCCAAAAGTATGACAGGCAAATTAAAGAGAAAGTGAAAAATAACAGAAAAAATGCTATGATGGTAACGAGATTGAAATAGTAAGTGGGATCAACACAAGAAGTTCGTAATAAAGCAGCATAATCACAGAAAATGTACTTCAGCTTTGTGTGGCAGTGAGGGAGAGGAAGCACAGTTACAGGCATGACAGCCACAAAACAACAGGCAGCAAACCACAGGACACATGTAAGGACAAGAGTGCGCACATTTGTTAAATAACTGTGGTACTGAAAGGGATAGCCAACAGCAATCAATCGATCAAATGCCATAACCGCTAAAGCAAACATTTCCATCACCCCGCCCCAGTGGAAAACAAACATTTGAATTAAGCATGGTACATAGGATATAGTCTTAACCCCAGCAAGTAGAACCCCAATCATTGTGGAACTGGCACTGGAGGTGTACACTATATCAACAACAGCAAGGTTGCAAATCAGAAGATACATTGGTTTGTGTAATTTCCTGTCAAAAATAATGAACAGGATATTTACAGCACTAGCTAAAATAATTAGAACATAGGTAATCAATATAACCACACCAACTACCATAGGTCTTTTGGTTGCTTCAAATCCACCTATAACAAATTCAGTTACTTTGATTGAAGTATTCTGCAAAGGCATTTTCAACAAAATAACAAGAAACAAGAAAGTTGATGTAAAAAAATACTTTTCTCAGAGCAAAGGTCATTCAGAATATTATAAATCATAACCAACTAACTGAGTAACTGAGTTTACCAGAGAACTTAGGGTTTTATGCCTCACGAGCACAGTCACTTTCCATTGGACAGACCCACCATCCAATCACACTGGATATCATCCCTGGGTAGTATCTGGCTTAAGCCAAAATCCCAGAAATCCTCTTGCTGGACAGGTCAGTCAACATCTATGAATGTCAACAACAAATTGTTACAGGCCCTGGTTCTGCCAAAGATATTCAAGATACAACATGTTAATGTTTGTGGTATCAACTCAGCCTTAAAGGTGTTGGTAGGCACGTTTTTTTGTTCTTTATCCTCCTTTGGACAGAGGCTACCTGCTTTCCCTGTCCCTGTCTTAACGTTAAACTAAACATGTCCTGACTCCAGTTCTACATAATGCACATACTGATGAGGTCTAAAAAGCCAACAGGTCTAGTGTAGCTCAGGAACTATTGAACATTTTCATTAATTGTTGAAGCATGGTCTGAAAGGTTTAGTGCTCACTAGTGTATATCACATTATATACTATAGTAGCTAGTGCATGGAACCATAGAGTAGCCTAAGAACAAATCACATGTGACATTTGTAGTTTTGAGTGCAGGTCTCAAAAAATAATTTTGTGAAAACTAAACATAACACATGTTTATACCAGGTTGTAAAGTTGGGTATTTTAACATGGGGGTCTATGAGAACTGACTGGCTTCTGGAGCCAGCCTCAAGTGGCTGTTCAAGGAACTGAAGTTTTTCCGTGTCGGCTTAAGTTTTTAGCCCTGAAGGTTGCCAAAAACTGCACACTCTCCTGCTTTTGCTGTCTAAACTTTGACTATGTTAATACAAACTAGTTCTCTGTACTGACAATGCAGCTCTGCACTTAAGGTTTCAGGATCTTTTCAGATGTTGCATCAGAGCCTATTTCCCCATCAATATGCGTTTCCCATATTGGACAGTAATCAGCTTTTGTATTAGCAGTCTGGTCTTACTCCCAGGACATCAAAATACACTGCTCGGGCAGTGTCCCAGCATCACTATAATGATGCTCTGGACATCATTTAACGTCTTTATGAGATGCACAGGATTTTAACACACTTTAATGTAAACCCCTTTGCATCATTATTAGACATTCAGAGCAACGTTAGTAAATTTAAGAGGACAAAAGTCCACTAATAGTGAGTGGAAGAGGAGGTTGATAGGTCCAACAAGCACAGGACTTTGACCCAGGACACTAGTGTTTGTCTCCCGTGTGAAACTAAAAGTCAACAGGATCTAATAAAGTTCCAGGGACTGTCAAGTTCATCAGGCATAGCATCATCTTGAAAAGTTAGAGCAGCCTGTTCCATTGATAACAGATCCAGAAAGTCCTTATGCCAGTTCTCCACACTGAAACAATTCAGTTTGTGTTATTTCCAGTTCATTAATATTATCCGCTTGGCTGATAGGAAGGCCAGCGTTATAATGGTATGTACAGTTTTTGATTGTTCAGTTGGTATTTTCACTCCTAATATACAGGTTACTGGGCAATGTTTGATATCTACAGTACAGGCCAAAAGTTTGGACACACCTTCTCATTCAATGCGTTTTCTTTATTTTCATGACTATTTACATTGTAGATTCTCACTGAAGGCATCAAAACTATGAATGAACACATGTGGAGTTATGTACTTAACAAAAAAAGGTGAAATAACTGAAAACATGTTTTATATTCTAGTTTCTTCAAAATAGCCACCCTTTGCTCTGATTACTGCTTTGCACACTCTTGGCATTCTCTCGATGAGCTTCAAGAGGTAGTCACCTGAAATGGTTTTCCAACAGTCTTGAAGGAGTTCCCAGAGGTGTTTAGCACTTGTTGGCCCCTTTGCCTTCACTCTGCGGTCCAGCTCACCCCAAACCATCTCGATTGGGTTCAGGTCTGGTGACTGTGGAGGCCAGGTCATCTGCTGCAGCACTCCATCACTCTCCTTCTTGGTCAAATAGCCCTTACACAGCCTGGAGGTGTGTTTGGGGTCATTGTCCTGTTGAAAAATAAATGATCGTCCAACTAAACGCAAACCGGATGGGATGGCATGCTGCTGCAGGATGCTGTGGTAGCCATGCTGGTTCAGTGTGCCTTCAATTTTGAATAAATCCCCAACAGTGTCACCAGCAAAACACCCCCACACCATCACACCTCCTCCTCCATGCTTCACAGTGGGAACCAGGCATGTGGAATCCATCCGTTCACCTTTTCTGCGTCTCACAAAGACACGGCAGTTGGAACCAAAGATCTCAAATTTGGACTCATTAGACCAAAGCACAGATTTCCACTGGTCTAATGTCCATTCCTTGTGTTTCTTGGCCCAAACAAATCTCTTCTGCTTGTTGCCTCTCCTTAGCAGTGGTTTCCTAGCAGCTATTTGACCATGAAGGCCTGATTCGCGCAGTCTCCTCTTAACAGTTGTTCTAGAGATGGGTCTGCTGCTAGAACTCTGTGTGGCATTCATCTGGTCTCTGATCTGAGCTGCTGTTAACTTGCGATTTCTGAGGCTGGTGACTCGGATGAACTTATCCTCAGAAGCAGAGGTGACTCTTGGTCTTCCTTTCCTGGGTGGGTCCTCATGTGTGCCAGTTTCGTTGTAGCGCTTGATGGTTTTTGTGACTCCACTTGGGAACACATTTAAAGTTTTTGCACTCGTTTTTCTTTAGTTAGCTGATTGGTTCTTGCCATAATATGAATTTTAACAGTTGTCCAATAGGGCTGTCAGCTGTGTATTAACCTGACTTCTGCACAACACAACTGATGGTCCCAACCCCATTGATAAAGCAAGAAATTCCACTAATTAACCCTGATAAGGCACACCTGTGAAGTGGAAACCATTTCAGGTGACTACCTCTTGAAGCTCATCGAGAGAATGCCAAGAGTGTGCAAAGCAGTAATCAGAGCAAAGGGTGGCTATTTTGAAGAAACTAGAATATAAAACATGTTTTCAGTTATTTCACCTTTTTTTGTTAAGTACATAACTCCACATGTGTTCATTCATAGTTTTGATGCCTTCAGTGAGAATCTACAATGTAAATAGTCATGAAAATAAAGAAAACGCATTGAATGAGAAGGTGTGTCCAAACTTTTGGCCTGTACTGTATATTAAGAAGGTATGACAAATTGTTAGTAACATCCAGCCAGAACTGCTTGACAAGAGGACAGTACCACAATAAATGCATCAGTGTACCCTCTACTTCACAGCCATGCGAACACAATTTGGATAATGTATGATCAATTTTCTTCAACGTGCAGGGTGTAATATATGCCCTTGTGTATTGTCTTTATTTGCAAAATTTTGTCTCTAACACATTTTGATATTTTAGTACTATATTTAAGAGCTGCTTCCCATTGTGTTGTACTTCTGTGCAAACACGTCATGTTCCCACTGTAGTTTAGTTTGGAGGTTGTTGTCAAAGATAGCAGAACACAACAGCTTATACATTGTTGAGAATGTACATCTCTTGCCAGCAGCCCTCATTAATTGGTCTTCCAAGTCTCTCTTGTTCCCTATGTCCATACCCTTAGAAAGCAATGACTTCAAAACAGATTTAATTTGCAGATAAGATAAAATTTCTTTATCTCTCAGCCCTAACTTTATTTTCAACTCATTGAAAAGAATCTTATTACCATTTTTAAACACCTGCCCCACCTGTTTTATGTTATGTTGCTGCCATATACTATTTTTAAGGACTTTACCTCTTGCAGTGAAAAGGAGATTGTTCCATCGTGGACATGATGGTAAAGAAATTCCACTAAAACCTAATATTTCTGTAGCATTTTCACTATCTTGCATGAAAATTGTAAAAGTGGATTGTCCATTCTAGGAGTGATTTTGGATTGTACCATAAGCCTTGCAGGGATAACTCTTTGTTGTGGTCTTTTAATATTTGTTCTTCGAGCCATTCCCAGCTGCCAATCACTCTAACTTCATTATAAGCTCAATGCAGGGGATATCTTGAATTATATGCTATGTAATACTGATGAATATCAGGAAACCCTATTCCTCCTCTACTTCGCGGATTTATTATTTTTTTATGACTGATCCTGGGTTTTTTATTCTTCCATAGGCAGCCAGAAAGTAGTTTATTTACTTCTTTAAACCAGCTGGGAAGAAATTTAAGCGGTATAGATGATATAAGAAACGCCACCCTTAGTAACATATTCATTTTAACAAGTTCAGATCTGCCCCTAAAAGTCAACATTGAGTTATTTTGTCCAGTCATTTGATAGTTAGTCAGCTCACATCACACACAACCTTTTCCTAACTCTACCAAAGTAGAGTTAGTATTTAACCACCGACCCCTTGACTGTCACGTGATTTGACTCGCACAATATGCAGCAGACCCCTTCTGCATCAATATCAGCCGATACAACATAGTAGGCTGCCCCCAAGTAGGGGTAAGGGCATGTTGGTTTTAGTGACATACCTAAGCTAGGCTGCCCATACATTTGAATCTCCGGTTTTAGGGAGGTGCACAGACATTGCCCCCTTCAGAAGAGGAAAGTGAATACACCTCTATGATGACAAACTTTGCACTGATGAAAGTAAACATATGGTCAAGGTCTAACATTTTTGAGAGGGTAAACATGAGAAAAAAAACACATTTTGGGGAGAAAGGGGACTTAAACAATTTACCATTAAAAAGTGTTGTCACGGAGGCAGTCACTTGTTTGTTTTAGGACCATCAAGGCACTCAAGAGGCAACAACACAAATGAGTTCCTAGAGGAAGCTAATTAGTGTCTCAAGTGTGTGATTAAAGTGTGCATGTGTGAGTGTAAGTCTCTGTCTCTGTACCTTAGTGAATTCTCATCTCAAAACAATCTTATGCAATGTTGTTTTCCATTGAATGTACATGTAACAATGTTTGTGTCAAATAGACAGCATCTTCTGCCAATTATTTTTGCCAGAACATAAACTCTTTTTTAAGTCTTGAGAGTAAAGAGTAAAATATGAACTGATATGTTAGTTAAGTTCCAAAGATTCTTATTTCAATCTCAGAACCCATTGACTATTGGTCTGATGAAAATAAGCTTTAGGGGGCAATGACCAATTTTTCAGGAGATGGAATGGATATCTGGGCCAAGACCTCATCTTCCATGTGCTGGTCATTTTGGCTAATCTCTATAAAAACATTTTTGCATATGAATACAGATAAATATAATTTTAAAAAACTCACGTAAAACTAAATCAGGCAATAGGCAATGGGTTCTGAAATAGCATTTTGGCCAATGCGTTCCGCTTGTTCACACGGACTGTTTACATACAGCTCAAACATGATCAGTCGATACTACCTGATAAACAAAATGATGACAGATGGAAACCAGAATGTTACACTTGCAAAGTCTTGTTCAGTAACCTTATGATTCTGCTTACGTATCTATTTCTACAAATTAGTTTATTAAAACAGCCTCATATTTTAGATTCCTACAAGTGATAAGTAGCTCTTTAGGGTAAGCAGGTGTATGACCATGTGGGCAAGGCTCTAGACATGATCACAGGAATCTTGAACTGGACTCTGAATATGATGGGAAACCTGGGTAAAGACATCAAAAATGGTGTTACTAAGGACAATTTGCAGAACTTGGTCAAAAGCTTGGCAGCAGCATTTTGGACCACTTGTAAGAGATCCAGGGAGGTCTTGCAAGCAGGTGAAAAGGGAACTGCAATAGTCCAGATGAGATGTAATAGAAGTTTGAATAATCATCTCCATTTCAGCTAGGGACTCACTGGGCCAGAGTTCAGCGATGTTCCTCAGCTGGCTAACCAAACAATTTACATGCTGATAAAGACTCAAAGCCTGGTCCATAGAAAGGCCTTAACCATGGAGGGTAGATTGAACAGAGGAGCAAAGAGAACTGGGACTGTCCACCAGAACATTGTTGCTTTCTAGAAAACCAACAAGCTTTCATAAGTTTGATTGATAACTTACTGTTGTCACTAGCTAATTTCAGGCCAAAAATCTGTTCACTCTCCAAATTGTATCTTTAAAAAAAAGCTGATCAAAATACTCAAGGTGGCCTTCTATTGCATCTTAGATTGGTTGATGCTTGTGCATCCACCTTTAGAGATACTTTTTAGAAAACTGAATATAGGTTTATGTAGCTGAAGCTTTTTATAAGGGATACTTCACCGATTTCAACCAGGTCACCTTCACAGTCTCCCCACACCACAGTGACACAGACCTGGTTGAAAATCAGCAAAGTATCCTGTAAGTACTACTGACAACACAGGCTTTAAATTTCATGTTTATCATTTGCTTAGAATGTTATGTCATAAAGCCATTTGCTCTGTTTACACATGTGCTGTGTGCTGAGAGACCACTATTAAACACTGGGGATGTTAATACTCCCTCCTCACTATCAATTTAAGTACACATTGGGGTTTTGTTCAAGAGCAATTGTTTAATCCTGTGGGATTTATAATCCATTTGAATAGTTAAATTAATATTTCCTCCAAAGAATCATCATGAAGCCCACTGACCAATTTAATGTTAATTGCTATGTTAATTATTTGTAGAAAGTAGGATATTAACACCTACTGATAACAAAGAAAGTCATAAGATAAAAAGAGTCTTAGTATTAATGTACTATTAATATTTGTTACTTTATGTTTACCTTCAGAGTAACTAATGGATGTCTTTCTGCTTGTGATCCACAGAGAATTAAAAAAAAAAAAAGGATGAATATGGACGTTCATCACAAGGCCTACTGTCTGAAGTCTTTTTAAGCGCTGCATCAGGTGGATCAGCAGCATATGCTGCCTAACTGTTTGAAAAATGTAAGCATAAAACATTGAGTACTAGAAATTCATATATCTAGCTAAAGTTGTAATATAGGTGTTACTCATGCTTTGTTTTATTTCTGTTTTAATGCATAATAGTAATTACTGTAAACTTGTTGACAGCGCAAGTACAATGATTTATACATCAGATAAATAATCTTGTGTAATTGTAATTGCTGCATTGCTGTGGTTAGATGTTTGAGATAATGTTTAAGTGTGTTATGTAATATGGTGAATCACTGCCCGTATGTTTCCTTTTCAGTGTGTTAAGGACATTTGTACTCCATCATGCCAGAGGGAAATCATAGTGTGGTGACTGAATTTATCCTGACTGGATTCCCTGGACTTCATCCAGAGTATCAAGGCATTGCCTCAGCAGTACTGTTCTTAGTTTATCTCCTAACTGTGACAGGCAATTTTACAGTTCTTTTTTTATTCGCAGTTGACCACAGCCTTCATAAGCCTGTGTATTATATCATTTTAAATCTGAGTGTATGTGACCTTCTCTTTAGCACAACTGCTTTACCTAAGATCATCAGTAAGTATTGGTTTCAATCAGGGAGCATTTCATTCACTGCTTGCTTTGTTCAGATGTACTTTGTTCACTATCTCGGCACAGTGAATTCATATATTCTCTTCCTGATGGCTTTAGATAGGTACTTGGCAATTTGTCATCCTCTCAGATACCCCAATGTACTTAAAAACTCCACTGTCCTCATTCTCAGTATTTTTGCATGGGTTGTTGCTAAGGCTCCCCCTTTAATGTTAGTTATTAGGGCATACCCTCTTCCTTACTGTGCCTCAAACATCATTAACCACTGCTACTGTGATCATATTGGTATAACAGTGCTTGCATGTACTGACAGGGCCCCTTATGGTTTTCCTGCTTTTGTGTTAGCAATGATTATGTTACTGGGACCTCTGGCATTCATAATTTTCTCATATTGCTCTATACTCATAGCAGTATTTAAGATAGCAAATTTACAAAGTCGCATGAAATCTCTGTCCACTTGTAGTACTCAAATGCTTATAATCGCGCTTTATTATTTACCGAGATGTTTCGTATATTTAGCCAGCAATGTTGGAATTAAATTTAGTGCTGATGTACGAATAGTAATTATCATGCTGTATAGCCTTTGCCCCCCCATGATTAATCCACTCATATACTGCTTAAGAGCAAAAGACATGAGAGAAAGCTTGTGGAAGCAATTCAACAGAAGAACCTTTCCACAAAAAGCACAAGTTTCAGCTATTAGTAATTAATAAACCAATGCATTATTCAATGTTTTACCTTTGGTCCTATTAGCCATCTCTCTTTGTTCGAACCAGAAATGCTCATAAAAAATACTGATTGAGGACAATTCAGAGCCAAAGCTGTCACAGTGTTAGGCAAAATACTTCTTTTATCTTCTATCTCAAAACTGAATAAATGAATCAGGCTTTTGCTATGTTCATGTAAAACAAATAATACTGTGTATGTCATTATTTCAATAATGTTCAGTGATCACAGGGTATCAGGGAAAACAGCTTAAAACGGTTTTGCAAATGTGTTCTGGTCTGCAACCACATTGTTAGGTTTATTGCTCTAATTGCCCCCCTTAAACACTGTAGAGACCTGTCAAATTGTCATGTGAAGTGGAGTCAGCTGTGTCATGCATTGTATTGTCAGAGTACAAAGGGGAGCTCAGAATTGGGGGATATTTTTATTACAATATAGATAAATAAATAAATAAATAAATAAATGCACATCAATTATTAATAAACTGTTTCAGTCTTTTAAAGCTCCTGAAAGCCAAACTGTTTATCAGGAGTCCCATAAGGTAGTTAAATTCTGATCTACTCTTCACTGTTAAGTATCTCACAGGTTTCCAGTCCATGCAGCTGGAAGTGGGAGCATAGTAGCCGTTGTACTACTCCTTGCCTGCTGCTGCTGAACAGAATAATTTACATGTGCCTCTTGACCTCCAGCTCAGAATATAAGTTTTTTTTTCCAGGACACGACCCCTTCACACAAGTAATTAATGCTGCACTGTAAGTCAAATAAATACTGCTATTCTATAAAACTATTGTCTGTTTTTTTTTTAAACTTTTTATTTTGTTTTTTTTTCACCCCTTACATGAACAAAGTCAATTGCACAACAATGCAATGGCAACTTGGGAAGGTAAACAATGAAAGAAGAATAAAAAAAAAGGAGAATAAACTAAAACTATAAAAAATAAATAAATAAATAAATAAATAAATAAAATGAAGTGAGGCACACTACTCTTATTGCGGCTTTTTCCACTGTCCATTCCATTTGTGCCACTGTCGGTCCAGGGTCCCTGCTTTCATTCTGAGATAATAAGTCAGTCTTTCCATCAAGTAAATCTCCTCCACAATACCCAGCCACTGTCCTGGGCTTGGAGGGTCATTTTTCAGCCAGTTTCTTGTTATGGCCTTTTTACATGCCAAGGTCAGTATTTTGAAAAGGTACAGGTCCTCCTTTTGAACAATTCCTTCTGGGGTCAAACCCAGGTGCATTATCCGGGGGTCCCTGGGTATCTTGTATGTAAAAATTTCTTCCATAATCTGAACCACTCTGTCCCAGAACCCCTGCAGTTTTACACAAGACCAAAAGACATGTGTGTGATTGGCACTCATCTGCCCGCAATGTCTCCAGCATTGCTGCTGTTCACCTAATTGTTTATTTTTGATGTGTGGTGTGATGAAGAAGGGAATTAAATTCTTCCATCCAAACTCCCTCCATCTTTTAGAGCTGGTGGAGGTCTGCTGAGTTCTGCACATAGAATGCCAATCACTCTCGGACAGTTTAATGTTCAGTTCTAGTTCCCATTTCGATTTCACATACAATGAGTTATTTCCATTATGTTTTTGTAGACCTCTATACAGCTTAGAGACAATCTTTATAGGTGTACATTTATATGCATTAATAAATAATTCAATCACTTTGTTTCTTTCTGCAGAAACTCCTCTTTTGATTTCTGTCTCATAGAAATGTCTTAGCTGTAAGTATCTGAACAGGTCACCATTATCTAAATCAAATTCTCCTTTGAGTTTTTCAAAGGATTTGAAAGTTTTCCCCTCTAGGAGTGTACACATCGCTGTAATCCCCTTATCTCTCCACCTTGCGAATGTGATGTCAGTTTGTCCGGGACTAAACTGAGATGTTTGAGAAGGCCAAATTAGAAGTTTACTGTCTCCTTCTAATTTATATTTTTTAACAATCTCATACCAGTTGTTTAATGCATTCTCCAAGATTAAATTCTCTCCCTTGTGGTCTGTATGTTTTTCCCCCCTAAACTGATTTGAGGTTGAAAGTTAGCCATGTTCAATTCAATGTGCTTCCACGTAGCTTGGTACTCCGGGGAGCACCAGTAGACAAGGTATCTCATCTGGGCGGCATAATAGTATTCCCTTAGATTTGGAACTGCTAGACCTCCATGTTTTTTGTCAATTTGAAGTGTTTTAAATCTAACCCTTGGTCTTGCTCCAGCCCATATAAATCTTGATAATTGTTTGTTCCACAGTGAAAACTGTGAATCTGGGATTCTGACAGGTAAAGACAGACAAAGGTACAACAACCTTGGCAGCAGGTTCATTTTCACTGCCTCAATCCTTGAACTGAAGTCTAACCCCAGTGTGAACCATTTTTTAATATCTTCCTGTATCTTATCATTTATTGTTTTGTAGTTTATTTCATATATTTTATCCAATTGTGGACTAATCAACACTCCCAAGTATTTTATGGGTTTTGCCTCCCACTTCACTTTATATTTCAGCCTAACGTCTTTACTTGGTGTGTAATTAAAAGAAAGTATTTGTGTCTTAGCTATATTCAATTTGTAACCTGACTTTTGACCATAGTCATCTAAAGTCTCCTTAAGTTTAGGGAGTGTTAAGTCAGGATTCTGGAGATAGATAATAATGTCATCCGCAAAGAGTGCTATTAAGTGGTCCTCATTTGCTATGTTGATTCCTCTCAACTCTTTGTTTTGTCTGATACTCTGTGCTAGGGGCTCTATGAATATCGCAAAAAGTGCGGGGCTTAGACAGCAACCCTGGCGAGTGCCTCTGTATAGCTTGAAGCTGCCCGTCAGATGGCCGTTAATTTTAATTCTAGCAGTAGGGTCTCTATAAAGAGCTTGTATGCACCTGACAAATTGACTATTAAAGCCCAGCCTCTCTAGCACTTGGTACAGAAAGGGCCAGCAGGCCCTGTCAAAGGCTTTTTCCGCATCTAAACTAGCCAGGACCGCACTTAAATGTTTTTTATTAATCTGTTCTATAATATGCAACATTCGCCTGATGTCGTCTTGAGTTTGACGGCCTTTTATAAACCCCGTCTGATCCTCATTAATCAAGTCGGGCAGAAGATGTTCAATTCTTTTAGAGATAATAGATGTAAACAACTTATAATCTACATTTAATATAGAGATTGGACGATATGATTCACAATTTTCTTTATTCTTCCCTTCTTTTGGAATGACTGATATAACTGCCTCTTTCCATGATGGTGGTGCCACAGCATTTGTTAGAGTCCAATTAAATGATTCTAACATAATAGGAGTGAGGTCTTCTTTAAAGATCTTATACCATTCATTCGGGAAGCCATCACTTCCAGGACATTTATTTGCTTTCAGTTTACTGATAGCCTTGTCCAGTTCTGTCTTTGTGATGGGAGCTGTTAATTTATTATTTTGAGATGTTCCTATGGAGGGGAGATCTAATGACGACAAATACTGTATAATGTTTTCTTCATCTACAGTCTTGGGTTGGGAGTATAGATTTTCATAGTAATTTTGGAAGATTTTATGAATTTCATCTGGCTCATAAGTTATTTTATTAGTTTTAGGGTCTCTAATTTTATGTAATGTATTTTTCATTTGTTGAGCCCTAAGGCGTTTGGCTAGAATTTTGGTTGCTTTTGAGCCTGACTCGTAAAAACTTTGTTTGGTGAATCTTAGTTTCTTTTCTAATTCATCATTTAGAATATTATTTATTTGGACTTTTAATTCTTTAATCTGATGTTTCAGCCCTTGGTCCCCTCCTTTTGGTTGTTGCTTCTCTAATTTTCTCAGTGCTTTCTCGAGTTCATCATATTTTGTCCTCTTCAACTTTTTTAGATAAGCTGTCCGTGAAATGAGTTTTCCTCTACTTATTGTTTTAACTGTGTCCCATACAATAGTTGGGTCCACTTGACCAGTCATATTACCTTTTATGGATTGTTTAATTTCTTCTTTAATCTCCTTAACCACAGTGTCCTTGTTTGGAACACTGATATTTAGTCTCCATAGAGTACACTTCTGTCTGTCGTTCAGATGTATAGTTAAATAGATTACATTGTGGTCTGATAAATCTGCTGTTCTATATGGAACATTCCCTCACCCTGTGTCTGTCTGTAACGTTCATCAAAAAGAAGTCTATTCTGGAATGAACACGGTGAGTAGCTGAGTAATGGGTATAGTCTTTTTCAGACGCATGAAGGTTCCTCCAGACATCAAACATACATGTTTCTCGAATTAGCAAGTTGAGATCTCTTGACTTAAGGCATTTAGAGCTTTTTATACTTGTTGTGTCTAAAGAGTGGTTTAGGACTGTGTTCCAGTCCCCTGCACAGACTAATACCCCTTCACCTTCAGAGGTTAATATGTGAGATAGAGACTTAAAAAATTTTCTATCGCTCTCTTGAGGGGCATATATATTAGCAAATGTGACAAGAATATTATCTATCCTTCCTTTGACAATTACATATCTACCCTGTGTGTCGCTCTTTTCCATAATTAATTCAAAATTTAGACTGTTGGAAATGAGAGTAGCAACCCCTCTTTTCCGGGTGTTTTCACATGAACTAAAGAAAGAGTTTAAGTATCCAAACTTTTTCAACTTCTCATGTTCATTTTTGGACATATGAGTCTCTTGGAGAAATATGATTTGCACTTTATCCTTTTTCATTTTAGCTAGTACCTTACTTCTCTTTACAGGATTACTCAGGCCATTTACATTTAAAGAAGCACATTTCAGATTATGTGGCCCTATCATTTATACTCTTCAAAGCAAGCAAGCAAGTGGCCCCACAAAACAAACTCTTAACATGAACTACAACTAAAAAACATAAACATGAACTTGAACCAACCTCCAAAGATGAGGGGGAATCATAAACCCCCTCAACTGTGACCCCGTTGGTGGGTCGAGGGGAAAGCCTCTCACTCCGAGAGGGCCCGATGTAAAGGGTGGATAATGAGTCAAAAAACAGTTTCTCTAC